AAAAAAAAAAAGAAGTTGATTTTAGTGACTAAATGTGTGAGATAAAGGAAAGGGAGGGTTATAAAATGATTCTCAGATTTCTCAATTAAGCAACTAGATAGAAGTTTGTATTATTAATCAAAATTGGGATTAGAGAAAAAGCAACCAATAAAAAAAAAAAAAAAATGAATTTAGTGACTAAATGTGTGAGATAAAGGAAAGGGAGGGTTATAAAATGATTCTCAGATTTCTCGATTAAGCAACTAGATAGAAGTTTGTATTATTAATCAAAATTGGGATTAGAGAAAAAGCAACCAATTTGCAAACGTGATAAATTAACTTTTGGACTTGCTGAGTTTGAGGTTCTAGGGATGCCCACGAAGCAGTTGGAAGTATAGCTTCTCAATACTCCCAAATCTGATCCTTTCCCTCTGTCAATAACCCTACTGCCTACTTGAGGACCTTCAAACCCCTGTTCCAGCCAAGGCCTTTCAAACCCTTTGCTGCCTTCTCTCCTGCCCCATCTTTTACTGTTCTAACCAAACTTTCCACTCCAATCTCCCTTTTTGAAGTTCTCTTAACTTTTCCTTGCTTTAGTGTCTTTGCTCACACTGTCCCCTCTGTCTTGTAATATCCTTCCCCAAGGAACTCCTACCCACTCCCCAATCCTCAAATCAGAAACCCTAGCCCGCTCAATTCTGCCTACTTCAAACATTTATTACAGCCGGATTGTCCTCCCGGACCCCGCCCCTCACTTGCCTAAGATCCTCAGGGGCAGATCCCGAGGCTACGCGTTCCTCAAGCCCCCAGAGCCCCGCGCGGCGCCGGCCCGCCGTGGGTCTCATGACAGATGATTGAAAAGGGGCGTGACCGAGATGGGCAAGGCCGGGAGAAACGGGGAACCCCTTTTACCTCTTCGCCGTAGTCCTCTGGACCGAATTCCTTGCAGAGTTTGGGGACAGCAGCGACCTCCAGCGAGCAGTCAGGCCGCAGAGGGCAATCTACAGGAAAGGAAGGCGGTGCCGCGTAAGGGGTCTCGGGAAGGATGGACCAGAGCCCTCCGCCGTCCGCCTGAAGCATTAAATCCTGACAATGCTCAGACCACAGGTAGACCCAAGTGGGGCATGCCTCCCTTCCGTCTTGCCAAAACCGCTCACCTAGCTTGATTCGCCCCACAGTCTTCGGAGTCGGCGCCATGGAGAACCGAAAGTGACCCGAAAGTGAAACACAGTCTAATTAGTATTTGATTCCGGCCAAAGGGCGGGGTAGGGCAGGGCAAGCGGCCATCTTTGTTAGGGGCTGAAGCCTTCAATTACGGAGCGCCAGAGAGTCCATGCCGGTCCCCGCGGCTCTGGGGCAGAGAAGACGGCTCCTGGGATGGGGCGGAGTTCCGGCTACGGCGGGCGTTGGGGCGAGCCGGGAAGTGGGAATCGTTAGGTTCGTTCTGGACTTGCCGCCCCATGGCCCAGGAGTCTCGCTCTGGTGGCCTTCTGCCTCCGCTCGCTACCGTTTCCCCGCTGTGGGCGCAACCCGGGGGTGCTCGGGAGGAGCAGTGGGAGGGAAGGCGGGCGGGCGCTCTTCGCAGGGAGGTTGGTGGCTGGCCAAGGCTACCGGTTGCCAGGAGCATCCCCTGTCCGCACCCGCGGACCGGCGGAGCTCCGGGAGGGCAGGCGTGGTTGCTGGAGGACGTAGGCGAGGACCACGAGGCTGATGCTGCTGAATGGAGGGGAGAGCCCGCAGCGGGCAGCCCGATCCCTCCCGTGCTAAGGCGTCTCCGGGCTGTGTTGCTGCGGCTGCACCACGAGCGAGAGCAGCTCCTCCAAGCCCGGGACTGCGCCCGCCTCCTGCAGACGGCCGTGCGCCTCCTAAGGACCCCGAGTCCCGGTTCACCGTCCTGCGGCCCTAGCTCTTTGCTCCAGCTGTGCTGCGACCTGCAGCTGCAGCCTCCCGGAGGGGCAGTCCTGCGAATCGGCTTTCAGGAGACTCTGGAGCCGCTACTCCTGACGCGCCCCATCGGACTAGCTGCCCAGCGCCTGGATGCTGCTATCGAGATGCAGCTTCGCGTTCTGGGACGGGCGCCCGCCAGCCCACGCCTGTCGTCCCAACTCGCCGAGCTGCTGCTGGCACTTCCCGCCTACCACAGGCTGCAGAGAAAAGCCATGAGCCATGTCCCAGGGGCTGCGCGTCCTTTCCCCGCTGCCCGTGTGCTCCGCCTCTTGACAGGGGAGCGGGGTTGCCAGGCGGCAAGTCGGCTGGATGAGGCGTTCAGGAGATCGGGATTGCGTGACCAGCTCCGCAGGTGGTGCCATGAGGAGCGGGAGCTGCTACCAGGGCTGCTGGGCCTGGTGGGGGAAGTGGTGGGTTCAACCACCAGTAGCCTGGGGCTTGGAGGGGCTGGAGCCCTGTGGAGCCAATATTGGACCCTGCTGTGGGGAGCTTGCGCTCAGAGTCTGGACCTAAATCTGGGACCCTGGAGGGACCTCAGGGCAGCAGCGCAACAGCTGAGTCAGGCACTGGGTCAGGGTGAGTGATGGCATCGGTGGGCGTTTGGGAAGGCTGGGGTCTCTTCCCTCCCCCAGTCAGCTCCCTCATCTGCCAGCTTGATGGCAAAAAAACCCTTTAGAATGAACATTTTCTGGGTTTACACTATAGCTTCTGCGCTTTCAAGGCAAAGTCCTGCTTCCCACCCCAGTCTTGAGTCTCAGAGGAAGCCTCCCCTCTTGGCCCATCATTGAGTGGGCAGGGGTTGTGGAAAGTGAGGCCTTCGTTTCAGGCTCCAGTCATTTCTCCCACTAGCATCCCTGCCTCAGGAGTGTGAGAAGGAGCTGACTTATTTGTGTCACAGTCTACTTCATCAGTCTCTTATCTGGAGCTGGGACCAAGGTGAGAAGGAAGGAGCATTGGGGGTGATACAAGTCCCAGATTGCCCTTCCCCCCACTAGACTATACCCTCATCCTCAGGTTTCTGCCAGGCCTTGGGATCAGCTCGTGGGGATCAGAGCAGCCTTCTCTCATCCTCGTGTACTGCTGAACTTTTGCAACAGCTCTTTCCTCCTCTCTTGGATGCCCTTCGAGAACCCAGGTCACGACTCATTGTCTGTCAGTCTCCAGGTAAGACAAGGGGCTGGGGGACAGAACAGTTGAGGATGTCCCTTTTTCCTTCACTCTGTTCTGAAGTCTGCCTCCCCCCAAAGGCACTCCATGACCCCTAAGATACTTTGCTTCTCCCATCCCCAGGTCCTGCACCCATCGCCCTGGGGCTCTGTACTCTGCAGACTACCTTGCTCTGGTTGTCGGGCAGAGCTCAGCAGTACCTGGCAACATGGGCCCCAGGTTCCTTCCTGCTCCTAATCCAAAAGGACTTACCTGTGAGTGGCTGGGGAGTGGGGAGGGGAGCAGCATGGGCTGAGCTGAGCCCTCACTCCCTGTTTCCACCCAAAGCTTCTATTGCATGAGGCAGAAACTCTGTCTAGCCTGGCCTCAGAGGAAAGTTCAGCTCTGGAGGTGGAGCAGCAGCTGGGCCTGGAGATCCAGAAGCTGACTGCACAGATCCAGGTGAGAACAGGGGCCCTGACATTGGCAGTTTAAGACCCTGTTCTGTGCCAACTGTGGAAGGAGGAAAGTGGAACATCTCAGTAACTTGGAATCTCCTTGGAGTCTCTGCTAAATTTATCTTTTCTTGCCCTGTTCATTTTTTGTTCTCTTTATTTAACTTTTTTCCATGGAAAAGTTCAAACATATACAATTGTAGAGAGAAGAGTATAATGGACCCCCATATGCCCATTACTAAGCCTTTAACAATTATCAACTTATGGTCAATTTTGTTTCATCTATATATCTCTCCCACTCCCATAATGTCAGCCTCTCATTTTGTATGTTAACAGCTGGTCATTGCCTAGATTCATTATTTCATTAGAGGCTGCAAAGGGATGACATCCCAAGTCTGTCTTTCATTCTTCATTTATTAGTTGGATTATTCCTATAAAGAAAAACGTTATCAGTGGCTTTGTTTGGACCTTTAGTAGCCAAAAAGAGAGAGAGAGAAAGAGAAAAGAAAAAAAATCAGGATAAATAACTGCATCTTTCTCTTTACTTACCAGTTTTCAGCACATTTCTGTGCTCTCTACAAGTTTAATTTGGGCCAGGTGTGGTGGCTCATGCCTGTAATCCTAGCACTTTTGGAGGCTGCGGTGGGAGGATCGCTTGAGGCCAGGAGTTCGAGACCACCCTAAGCAAGAGTGAGACCCCTGTCTCTACAAAAAACAGAAAAATTGGCCCGGTGTGGTTGGCACATGCCTGTAGTCCCAGCCACTTGGGAAGCTGAGACAGGAGGATTGCTTGAGCTTAGAAGTTTGACATTGCAATGAGCTATGATGATGCCACTGCACTCTAGCCCAGAGGACAGAGCAAGACCCTGTCTAAAAAAAAAAGTTCAATTTGTATTTTTATTAAAGTAATGCATGTCCATAGTTTAAAAAGTGAAATAGAATAGTATTTTATAAGATTTCTGATGAAGAAATATCACTCTATTGCCCCCCACCCACCTCTGATTCCTTTTTCACAGTGGTAACCTTCATCCATACCTGGCTGTTTAAGATTTTTCTTCTATATTTATGAATAAAGCTATTATACTTCTATTTTAATTTTTCCCCATTTTGCACATTATCCCTACTACAAAAGATATCTGTTCTTTTGTTTTTTCTTCCTGTCCAATTTTCTCCTCTTTGCCCTGAGTAGGAGCATGGCTGTAGAGTTCAGTCCTTGACTCTGCTTTTCTCTCTGCATTCCTGCTTACCCAGTGTCTTGGTGCTGTAAACTCCCTTCTGGCTCCCAGAGTTCTGTCCAGCATCTACATTTGCCTATTGGGCATTTCTACCTCAATCTACTGCTGTCTCCTTAAACTCAACATGCCCCAGAGTAGACTCATCATGAGTAGGGCAGACAGTGATGGTCTTGGGAGCCCTGAGAAGGGAAGGCCATGGTGAGCATGTGGTTTACCGAAGGCTCCATACAGGGCCTGTGGCTGGGCAGCCTCACAGGAGCAGCAGGAGGTGGGCAGTTCATAGATCTTTGAGGGAGTAGTAGAGAGATGGCCTGATCAGAGCAGAGTTTCCGTGTGTGTATGTGTCAGGGTGAGGTGTGGGGGATGGAGGAGGAAGCAAGTTTGCCCTCAAATTGTGGAGGGCACTGAACTCCAGCCCCAAGAATTTGGGCTTTGTCTCATGAGTGATGGGGAGCCACTGTAAGAGCGGAAGGGAACAGTGAAGACAGTGATGGAAATCTGATCTAGCTGTAGGGGCAGGGTGGAAGGTTGGCTCTTAACAGTTAAGGTGAGTACAGAGCAAAAGGGACAGGGACAGTGAACCAAACACTGTGCAGAGCACTCTACGTGCCTTGCTTATCTGCCTGGTGATTGTACTATTGAGCTTCTGGGTGCTCCAGCACATACAGTACTGGGATGACCAAAAAGAGTCAGGCATTGTGACTTTTCCCCCCAGCTGGACTGTAAGGTGAGAGTAAGAGAGAGAGAGAGAAAAGGATACTGTCTCATACTGTGTAGCTTATATTCCCTCAGTGTGTTGAGTACACAGGGGCCTAACAAATGTTTATGGATGAAAGGGTAATTTCCTTGGCATGAATAAGGAAGGAGAAGGGGTTCAGGATTGTTAGAGAAGAGAGGAAGAGTCTGGATCTAGGTTGTTGTCAGATGTGCCAGGAGCCACATGGGTCCTACCCCATGCCTGGCCCCGCAGGCCTTTCCTCTCTTCAGGCTCCCTGGCATCCATTTTTTCTTTATAGAACTGCTGCCATTAACCCCATTTATCTCCTCCAACATGGGGTGTAGAGCAGAAACCCTCTTTATTGCTGTATTGTGAGCCTCCAAAAACAAAACCTACTGAACAAGCCAAAGAAACAAACAAAACCAGCATTTAGGCCATTTCTTGCTTTATGGTTTATGTTGCTCTGGAGTGGGCTGTCAAGAATATTCAATGTAAGGACATTCCAAAGGTTCCTGAATTTCAGAATGTTAAAATTGTCATTGCTTCTTGTCTACATATACTTCCTGCCTTCCTTTCCTAGATGATAAGCAGAAAATTGTTAAAATTCTCCTTTCCTCCCTCAGCCTCTGCCCAACTTCAGATCATGCAGACCTACTCTCTGCTCTGTGTCATGTGCTTTTGAACACTGGTGGTATTTGGGGGTGGGAGGGAGGGAGGTAGTCTCTTTTTTTCCTATTTAAAATTCCTACAGAATAAAATTGACCTCAAGGATTTTCCATCCTCTGAACCAAGCTGGGGAGAGCAGGGTAATCCTAGGGCAATTGTTCATAATTTGGGTCCAGGTCCAGACCTCTTGGAAAACCCAATGAAAGCTATGGCATCTCTCCTTGGAAAATGCCGAGGGCAGGCCCACACAATTATGCACACAATTATGGGGGTTTATGGATGCCAGGTTGAACACTTCAGATTTAGAGGGTTGTCATAATTTGACAAGCCCCTAACAGATCAGCCTCTTTTACTTTCTCCTTATCCCCACAGCTCCTGCCTGAAAAGTCACTAAGTCTCTTTTCTCAAGAATGCCACAAACAAGCCATACATGGTTTCAAGATCCACATGCCCCGGGGTCGGTACTGGCGGCTTCGTCTCTGTCCCGGTAACTCCTCATCCCAGCTTCCTCTTCCAGGACCCCAAGGGGGTAATAGTGTCCCAACCCCTCCAGATTCTGGCTGCACTCCACTGTCTCCATCCTGTTTTCACTTTATATGCCTCCCCTCCAAAATCCTACCCTCTTGGGGGGTGGGGAAAAAGAGAAAAAAGAAAAAACAAAATCCTACCCTATTCTCCCAAACACTCCATTTAAGGGTTCAATGGATCTCCATAGCCTTATATCCCATCCTTTCTCTTCTCACTCCAGAACTTCCCCGTGCTCCTAGTGAGTATGCTGGATTAGTGGTCCGCACCATACTGGAGCCCGTGTTGCAGGGATTGCAGGAATTGCCACCTGAATCCCAGGCCCCTGCCCTCAGTCACGCTCTGACGGCCATCCTGGGTGCCTGGCTTGACCACATCCTCACCCACAGGATCCGGTTCAGGTGAAGAGAAAAGGCAGCGGTGGCAAGGGGGTGAATGGAACTGGGAAAGGGAGGGGATAGGTGGGGCAGAGCAGTTTGAAGAGACAGGAGGGTCAAGTGGCTACATTGTACCTTGGCTTTTAGCCTGCAGGGGGCACTACAGCTCAGACGAGACTTTGGAGTGGTCAGGGAGTTCCTGGAAGAAGAGCAGTGGGGCCTGTCCCCAGATCTTCGCCAGACTCTGCTCATGCTCAGCATCTTCCAGCAGCTGGATGGGGCCCTGCTGTGCCTGTTGCAGCAGCCCCTGCCCAAGTCTCAAGTCCACAGGAGGTCCCCCTGTTGCTGTGAGTCACTCCCCCTCCCTCACTGCTTCGTGTGACCCACACCCCATCCTCACCATTGATCTGGCTTCAGCATATCCCCATGGGCCACCTACTTTCCATTCTTGCCTTACCAGGTGCTTGTAATGAGGTCCAGACCATGGAATTTCCCAGCAGCAGCCTCAACAGCCTGGAGAACTTGGAGACGCCCCTCCAGCCTGGAACATCCCCAGCACAGACAGCTCAGCTGCTAAGCACATTGAGGAGAGGGGGACCTAACCCTGAGGTTTACCTGGTGGGAAATCAGCAGGCATGGCTTGCCCTGAGGCAGCATCAGCGCCCCAGCTGGCACCTGCCTTTTCTTTCCTGCTTGGGGACCAGTCCTGAATCCTAAGGAGCCTGGGACCAGGAGCCAGAAAGTCAGAACTCCCCCTCTAGCTGGGAAAGCCAGACATTTAGAACTGCATATTAAAGAATCCTAGAATTAGGAGCTTGAAAGAAAGCAAACCTGAGAGCCACAAGTGACACAAAGCCTGGACTTAATGCTACGAATCCCAGATCACTTCAGCACCCAGAATACAAAGTAAAGAGAAAAACCACAGCCTGGAAGCTGAAAGTCAGCATCCTTGGGAGGCTCAGGCCTAGTCCTCCATCAGTGAAGGCATCTAAGGGCTGGAAGTGGGAGGAGGGCTAGAGAGTTAGATCTCAGGGGATAGGGAAAGGGAAAAGCAGTAGAGAGCAGAGAGGCTAGATGCCACTTTCACTAAGTCCCAGGAGCGGGGCTAAAAAGAGTTAATTAAGCAACAGTTAAATCATAAGGTGGAATAGACTTTTCTACACCTGAATCAGTCCCAAGGGCTGTATTGCCCTGTACTTCCCTGCCCGTTACTGTTTTCAGACATTTGAGAATACTGGGCTGTAAGGACCTTCAGTTTAAGCTGTGGTTACTCAGAGTTCGATATGCTTACACTCCAGTTACCTGAATGGGGTTTACCTCCTGGTAGGCGGATAATCCCTGTTATGGGTAGTGCTCTCTGCTTGGAAGGGGCCAGGACTTAAGATGACGTTAACTTAGATCAGGCACAGCACGGTAGGGAAGGGAAGAGGCTGCAGAAAACGGATATATTTTTGTACTATTTATTTACGGTCTCAACCATGGTACAAGAGGACTAATAATGATAGGTAGTATTTAATGACCAATCACTTTGGGCCCCTCCGTGCGTTGTCCCGAAACCACCTTTCTCCCTCCCGGCCTTCCTCCTCCTCGGGCCCCGCAGCGAGGGTTTAAGGGCCCGCTCGATGGCTGGCGGCCGGAAGTCTTTACAGCGCCGAGGCGAGTGGGCTGCGGAAGCCAAGCCCAGCAGTCACAGCCTGCCGCACAAGCTGCACTTCCGCCCGCGTGAGTCCTTCCGGGGCAGAGGTAACCATGGCCTCCGCCTTGGCTAGGGTTGGTCTCCGGTCCGTTAAGCAGGTTCGGGTTCAATTCTGCCCCTTCGAGAACAACGTGGAATCCACGAGGTACGAGGGGGAAGAGCGTGGGAGCGGGAAGAGTCACGCCTTCCTTCCGCCTGGGTTTTGGCCCCCTTAGCCGGTCTTTCACGCCATTTCCCTCCCCATAGGACCTTTCTCCAGGCGGTGAGCAGCGAGAAGGTCCGCTCCACCAATCTCAACTGCTCTGTGATTGCGGACGTGAGGCACGACGGCTCCGAGCCCTGCGTGGACGTGCTATTTGGTGGGCTTGGTGGGGAGACGGGCGGGAGGGAGCAACAGGCAACCCGTGCGCCCCTCAGCCCCGCAGTCCTCCGGTGCCTGACTCGTTTATTTCTTCCGCAGGAGACGGGCATCGCCTGATTATGCGCGGCGCCCACCTCACCGCTCTGGAAATGATCACTGCCTTCGCCTCCCACATCCGGGCCAGGAGTGCGGAGGGGAGTGGGGACAAGTCGGGTGCTGATATTGGGCGCTGAGAGCGCCGAAGAGACCAACAAGCAGATTTTAGCCTGGACTAGGACACTTACTTTCTTTAACGAGAGCTTGACTTAGTTATTCCGATCACTATCTGGAGGGCTACGGAATGCAAAACAAAAACTGCGAGGGGTGTGAATGAACTTGAATTTGTCTCTCTTACCATCACTCATTGCTTAACCCTTTTGAATTTGGCTTCCCCCTCCACTCACTCAGGGTACCTCTTACTCTTATTTACCAAATCCAGTGCAAGAAAACCACTGACAGACTGAGTGTTGTTATCTCAGTCCTCATCTTTCTATCTCAGTAGCATCTGCCACTCTTAATTCACCCAGTACTTGTGAAAACTCTCTCCCTCTTGGGTTCTTTTTCTTAACCATAAAGATGTGCCACCCTCATTCTCCTTTTTCTTCTCTCTTTATTTTTTCTGAGGCATCTCATATTCTGTCATAATTTGAACTGCCTTCTCTGGGGTTAAACCCTATTATTTCCGTTTGGTTCTAATCCCAATATTTTTTTCCCCAGGCATCCTAATTCTATAAAATGGAATGAATGTTCCTTAATCCCAATTTATGTGCTATTGTCATATAGTCAGGTTACCTACTACCAGTTTCCTCCAAATCCCACCAACGCTCTTTGTCTAAAGCAGAATTGATAATCTTATGTATACATATACTTACCCCCCCCCCAACTTCCTCATTCCATTTATTTTTTAATTTGCTGGAAACCACAGTGTTAGTTCTGCCCTCTCCCTTTCCCTGCATATCTGGTCAGTCGGTTCAGAATATTCTGTCTTTTTAAAAAGCTCCTGAAATGATTTCTCCATTCATATTCTCTCTCCTCTATCATTATTGCATTCTCCCACCCAGGCTTTTTCCAAATCATTTTTACTTCTGCTTAATTTTATCCTTCCAAAGCACATGATTGGTTTTATCTCCCACTACTACCTGGTTCAGAAAACTGCCTAAAGTGTTCAGCATCCACTGGTGTGAGTAATTAAATCAACCTAGGGGGTTAGATCAGCCTTTTTGGGAAAAAAAAGTAGAATAAAAATTATCAGTGCATGGCACATGGCATGGGAAGTATTCCTTTGGGAAATATATAATATAATCATATATACTATAAATGTGTATATGTCTTGTGTGTATCTGCATGTACTGGGTTGCAGTACAGAATTATTTTTTACTGTGGGTTGTAGGGGAAAAAAATGGTTGAAATCACTGCTTTAGAGAAGAACTTAAGAATGCTCATCTAGGGCCGGGCATAGGCTCCTGCCTATAATCCTAGCACTCTGGGAGGCTGAGGTAGGAGGATTGATTGAGCTCAGAAGTTCGAGATCAGCCTGAGCAAGAGTGAGACCGCATCTCTACTAAAAAGAGAAAATTAGCTGGGCATTGTGCGCACCTGTAGTCCCAGCTACACTTGGGAGGCTAAGGCAGGAGGATCACTTGAGTCCAGGAGTTTGAGGTTGCAGTGAGCTACAGTGATACCACTGCACTCTACCCAGGGCAACAGAGTGAGGCTCTGTCTCAAAAAAAAAAAAAATGCTCACCTACACAAAGATTTCTAGACATTAGACATTGGCTGCTGTGTACTTTGCCAAATACATTTCTCATGACCCTCCCACAGCATGACTATACCTCTTCCCTGCCTAAAAGATTGCTATCTTCAAAAGACGTTTTCCTTCTCCCCATTTAAAAAAGAAAACTGCCATAAGGCAGTATAGTGTAAAAAGAGCCAGGCTGCCTCGAGCTGAAATCCCAGCTCTGCCCTTAAGTAGATGTGTGTCTTAGGACAAATTAATCCATCAGTGCCTGTTTCCTCATTTGTAAAATGGAGATAACAGTACCTACCTCATAGGCTGGTTGAGAGATTAAGTGACTTAATATCTGTAAAGTGCCTACGAGTTGCTGGGAGTATAGTAAGTGCTATTATTTAAGAGGCCTTATTCTGTTGTAAAGTTGAAAGAACACTGACAACTTGGATTTCAGTTCCCCAGCTCCGTTGGGAAGACTGGATGTTATGTTGGGCCAGTCTTAACCACTCTTTTCTCATCTGTAAAAATGGGGATGGTTCAACATGGATTAAATGCTGGCACTGTGCTTCTAGATTGTGAACTTTAGGTTGGAGCTGTTTTCTCTATGTCCCCAGCACCTTGTGTGTAATGTGATACAGAGTGAATAAACATTTGTTGGAGTTGTAAATATTTAGCATCTACCTTGTGCCTGTAACTGTGATTAGTATTGAGACACAAAGATTAATAATGAAACTCAAATATGTAATAAGTGATACAATGCCGATGTGCACAAGTGCAATGGTAGCAAGAAAGATAACAGGGACTGACCACTGGGTTTGTTCAGAAGATGCTTGTTGAATGACAATGGACATTGGAGACTTGGCGGGTAGGAAGTGGGTGTGGGATGAAAAATTACCTATTGGGTACAATGTACACCGTCCAGGTGAGGGTTACACTAAAAGTCTAGACTTCACTATACAATTCATCCATGTAACAAAATACCATTTATTCCCAAGTCCACTAAAATAAAATTGTTTTTCTTTTTTTTACACTAGGCTGTGATAAATTTTTTTTTAAAAAATTTTAAATTTAAAAAAGTTGATTGTTGAATAAACAAGTCTACCAGTAGAGAGTAGGGCCAGAAGGCAGATTATAGTGAAATATATAAGTGGGCATGTTGCATGAAGAATTATTAGTTTTATGTAATGAGTTTGAATGAGAGGTGTGATAATAGCAAGGGGGCATAATGTTGTAGAGCAGGGCTATTTTTCATTTTTTTTTTTTAGAGTGGGATGGGCTTCTACTTAACGAAAATACCTTTTATGTTGGGCTGTTGGTGAAAAATTAGTAACTATGAATCTAAGTTGCATTTCTGAACTGCCATCAAAAAATGTAATGTTGTCCGAGCGAGGTGGCTCATGCCTGTAATCCTAGCACTCTGGGAGGCCGAGGTGGGCGGATTGTTTGAGCTCAGGAGTTCAAGACCAGCCTGAGCAAGAGTGAGACCCCTGTCTCTACAAAA